GAACAGACCCATCAAGAGGAGGAAGGTAGTGAGGAGGAGGTGGTGAGGATGTAAGAAAAGGCAGAAAAGATGAGGGACAGTTGGGGCAGGATGGTGAGGAGGGGAGTGAGGTGAGGAGAGGGCAGAACAAGCAAGTCCTCTCCAAGGAGCTCCGTTTTATCTTTGAGGGTATTCCATTTGCAAATGAGAATTTAGGTTTTCACTTGAGGGCATTGTGTTTTGTTAACCTTGACAACAAATGACAATAACAACATCTGATCCATGCTTAAATTAGATGTTTAAGCATGGATTAACACCCAGTTAATGCCATCAAAAATTTTCAAGAAGCATGACACACATAAGAGATGAACGTGTAACGGTCTCTACTGATCTACTAGGTGAGCAATAAGACCTGTCTATGTGGTTTATGAACCTACAGAAAATAAAGTCAGTGCATATCTGGTATAGTGAGATTTTAGAAGAAATGAAATTGAAAATAAAGTGGTGAGCCCCCACTAAAGTAGTTCTTACCCTTGATTGACCATTGGAATGATCAGGGAGCCTTAAAGAATTCTGGCACTTGGGCATATATAGATGACTTAAATAAGTCCTTGGAGATGAAACCCAGGGTTGGTATTTTTTAAGACCCCCCAGAAAGGCCTTATTATTTTGTTGACAGTTTTTAAGAATAATGATCAATTGCTTTCAAGAATAGTTGACATGTTCATGGATATGATGAACCTACCTTGAATTCCTAAAATAAGCTCTAGTAAAAAACGTCAGATTCTGATGAGCCCAGATGTCTTCCAGGGTGATGTCTCTTTGAACTCAGTGAAGAACCAATGAATTGTTGACATGGCACAAAAATGTGACATCAGACCCAGGAGACCCCCACCCCTCTTCTCCAATAGGCCTCATACTATAGGCCACACAGTGTTCCAGATAGATTGGGTAGAAATTAAGTCACTCTAAAACCATTAAGAAACAGTGGAAATGCAAGGGATGTATAAGTGTTCAAAGAATAGGAAGATTTCCAGTGATTCTCGTTTCAAATCCTCTGGTCTCTCTGAAGCTCCTGATGGTGGAATTCCAAAGGGTGAACTGGGATGGAGGCTCCTTCTCTGAGTATGGTTCTGGGATTGAGGTTCTATTTAGCCAGGAGAAGTTGTTGACAATAATGATGATGACTGTGATAAGGAAGCCCAAGATTTGGGGACAGAAGAGAGAGGAAGAGGAAGAAGAAGAACGAAGAGGAGGAGCATAAAACAAGAAAACACAAGCCACTGTGATTGTAAATTCTGGGGATAGGCAAGTAAATGTTTTGATTGAATCAAAGTTGGCTTTTAAAGTTTTCATTCTACTTTGAATTTTTGGTAATATACGATGGTACCAAATATGGAATATAATGGAGTATAATGAATGCTCACTTTCATGATTTTCTTCTTCTGAATTTTTTTTTGGGGGGTGAGGTAGGGGATTGAACTCAGGGGCACTCGAACACTGAGCCCCATCCCTAGTTCTATTTTATATTTTATTTAGAGACAGGGTCTCACTGAGTTGCTTAGGGCCTCACTTTTGCTGAAGCTGCCTTTGAATCCATAATCCTCCTGCCTCAGCGTCCCAGCCCACTGGGATTACAGATGTGCGCCACCACACTGAGCCCTGGATTTCTTATTCTATACTTTAAGACCATGACTGTGAAACTTACCAGAAGCATTTGTAAGACCAAAATTTGTTTAGCCAAATATTTTCCAGAAGAATGAACTGACATAATTTTAAATCAGTTTTCATTAGCTTGCATGTTAATCACTTGCCATAGAAATTTAATCGTCATTGCTAATTTTATTTCCTATAAAACCTTTTTATTTTGATTATTTACAACCTAGTTAAAATTTAAAGATTTTTTTTTTTTCAAGTAATGAGCACCAAACCCAGGACCTTACACATGCTAGGCAAGTGCTCTACCACTGAGCTACATCTTTGGCCCTTTTAATTTTATTTTAACAGGGTCTTGTTATGTGGCCTAGCCTGGCCTCAAACTAGAGATCCTCCTTCTTCAGCTTCCTGAGTAGCTGGGATTATAACTGTGCACAACTGAATTGGGCTTTAATAATTTTTTTTTTCGGTAGCTTCCCATTTAATATTCATAAAATTTGGTTTGCTTGCAGACAGAAAAAAAAATGTGACACTTGTAGGAAAGCTACTTATAGTAGTTATCTTTATTTAAAAATAATGCTAATATTTTAACTTTTTATTAACAAGTTTTTACCTAGAGTGAAATATATTAAAATCATAGGGCAGGATTAGTTTGTACTTTATAAATCAATCAGGCAACCTTTAGTGCAGGAACATTGATGCTGATAAGTCCCTGGCCTCAGACGTGTAGGAGAGTGACACGTGGTGAGCATCATTATGGAACAGGAAGACACTGTGTTGATGACACATTATGGCCTTAAACTGAGGCTTAATCTGGGAATGACGGCAACTACCTATACAATCTTTTGAAAAGCATGATAGGTCACTTGTGTGCCGGGAGTGGGGGTGTGTGGTGGAGGTGGGTACAAGGGCTTCCTCTCCCCAGCTTCCTGTTTCTGCGGGGGGAATTGTGGGTAGAGGAGCTTTGCAAATTTCTCAGTTTGTGAGAAGGAAACAACATGCATGGATCCCCATCTTCCTTCCTCCCTCCCTTCCAGGGGTCAGTTGTTCCCGGGAAGCTCTTGTTTTCTTCTGCCCATCCCCCAGGCTGTAGATTTTTCTTAGACCTGCTGTTGGGGGGAACCTCTGACTAGGCAGTGAGTTCATTCAGGCTAAGGGATTAGCAAAACCTACTTGGGTATCACATCCAAACGGCATCCTCCATATAGTCTTTTTTTTTCAATAATAAAAATTCTATTTTGTTGTTTACCTGTTTTATTCTTGAATCTATACTTCAGCCAATTCTCAGTATGAGGCCCGTAGGGGAATGCTATTTATTGATGTTGTTAAAGTCCCACCCTCTGGCTACCCAGGTTTACAACTTAAATCAGTTAGGAGTATTTTCATTATTGATCTTGGTGATTTGCATTTGCTTATGTGAATGAATATTTTTTCTAATAATGAACTGATTTTTAATTAGTGTGACCTAGGCTGGCTGCTACGGGATTAAGGCTTAAGTAAAAATGGTCAGTGTCTAATGAGTAGCATTGGTGGGTCGATATAGTGTATGCAGCTTTATCCTCAGACGAGCTGCCTATTTACACCTGCAAGTAGTGATTTCTATCTGGTCAGAGCAACATAGACCTCGGTAAGCAGGCCAGCTGCCTGAGGCCCTTAGGGAAGCAGTGGACAGGCTGTTTCAGGGTCTTACGCAGCTGTACAGATATCCCGGCAGATACTGGCTGTGAAAGCCTTAGGGTGTAGGCTGCTGTAACTTGAATTTGAATAGATAGATGAAACTTGTTGTGGTGTTAAGTTTAAAACTGAAGCAGGATTTGATGATTGGGGCATTATCTGGGATAACAATATGAGCTTTGTATGTCTGTGGAGGGGGTGTTGGTGGGGGATGGAATCCAGGGTCTTGCACATGCTAGACTAGTCTCACCCACTGAACTACATCCTCATCCCTTTTTATTTTATTCTGAGATGGGGTCCCACTAAGTTACTGAGACTGGACTTGAACTTGAGGTTTCCTGCCTCAGCTTCCCAAGAAGTAAGGATTCACCACCACACCTTGCAATTTTAATATTTTTAATTGCACTTCTCAAACATAAACTTCTACAGGTGGGAACTTTAAAGTTCAGGGTAGTAGAGCTAGTTTGATGCTCTTGTGATAGTTTATCTTAAAAGTTTTGGTGCTACCTCTGGGTAACATAAAACAGTGTTCTAAATTCCATGGTGTGTTCATATGGCTAGTTGTGGAAATGAGAACCTTAGATTTATGTCATTTTCCTACACTCTCAGGCCACCCCCTTCTTTATCAATGAATTCTCGGAATTTTTTAATGATATAAGTTGTCATTTTAATTTAAGATACTGAAATTATGGATTTTCACGGAAAAGTATGCAATATTTCATTATATACATGCAAAAATGAATGAAGATAACTACTGAGAAATATGTCAACTCCATTTATTTAATAAAAGAAATAACCAAATAATATTACTATAAACCCAGAGCACAAAAAGGCAAATTTAACAACAGGTACTTGGAAAGCTTAGTACCTAGTGTGACAAGTCATGGGAGGCCATGGGTTTGGACTGAACACCTGTACGGGCCCAACCGAACAAAAAAAAAAAAAAAAGTTAAGCAAAAGAAACGAACCCCGGGTGAATGCAAGGGCCCCGGAAACAAATAAAAAAGGAAACCGGAAACAAAAAAAATGGTTTTTTGCATCACTTCCATTTTTATATGAATGCTGTCAGACCGCATTGTTAGCCAGAGTTCTAGAAACTGTTTCAGTTGTTCTGGGAGCTGCCTGATTTCATATATATATATAATATATGCTTGGGTACTAGGGAATGAACCCAGGGGTTCTTGACTACTGAGCCACATCCCCAGACCCTTTTATTTCCAATTTTGAGACAAAGTCTCTCTAAGTTTCTTAGGCCTTACTAAATTGATGAGGCTGGCTTTGAACTAGTGATCCTCCTGTCTCAGCCTCCTGAGTTGCTAAGTTTACAGGGGTATGCCACTGTGCCTGGCTCAAATTGTTTTTATTTTGTGTTGCTTTGCTTCCCTTTTCTCAAATAAACTCTACTTCCCATAACTGGGTTAAGGAATATTCCCTTTTAGCATTAGAAATCTAGTTTACTCATATATTTGAGGAATAAAGTGGCTTGTTATTTTAAAGTGGATGTAATATGAACAGTGGGAGGAATAAAAAATGATACAAAAGAAGGACTTGCAAGCTAGACACCAGGAAAGATGTCCTTAAGAGAAAGCTTGATGTCTTAGAAGAAGGGTTAGGAAGATAAAAGGGGAAAGAGCTGTACCTATTCCATCTTCATTTAAGTTATTTTTTGAAGATGTTTTTATCACTGGTGGAGGTGAAAAGGTGAAGAGTAACCAAAGAACTATTCCAATGGAAGAGGCAAGATTTTAGTGAGTGCGTTAAAGTCCCTCCATAGAAAGAGCCAAGATCCAGAAGTCAGCAAATGATAGAAAACACCCCTTAGATAGAACATTTATAGGAACTACCGTGAGCCAGAAGTGGAGGTGGCCACTGCCACTCACCAGAGGGAGACAGTATCATTGGGACTTTGTGACCTGGCCTTCTCAGTGAGAAGGTAAAAACATCCTTGTGTATACAGATGCTATTTACATCATATTCCACCAAACCATAGAGCTGCTATTGGCTAGGTTCTAGAGTGTTTATAAAAGGGTGTTTAAAATGCTGAGCCACCGAAGGGGTAGACTGAACTCCTTACTGAACTGTGGCCTTTCTTCTCCAAACTTGCAGGTTCCTTCTTTGCTTTGTGACGACACTGGCGCAGAAGCTCCACAAGGTATCTTTGTCCTCTGCTGGCCAACTTCACTTGAGCTTTTTGTTTTATATTTAGTTTGTGGTTGTTCTTTTTAGATATCATGACAGTAGAGTGTATTTTGACAAGTTTTACATCCATGAATTAAGATGTATTCTAATTAGGATCCCATTCTGGAGGTTGAACCTGATACAGAGTTTCACTGGTGGTGTATTCGTATATGAACATAAAAAAGTTATGTCCAATTCATTCCACTATCTTTTCTATTCCTATCCCTCTCCCTTCTCTTCGTTCCTCTTTGTCTAATCCACTGAACTTCTATTCTTCCCCTCCCTGCCCCTTGTTCTGTGTTAGCATCTGCGTATCAGAGACAACATTTGACCTTTGATTTTTTGGGGATTCGTTTATGTCACTTCCATGATAGTCTCCAGATCTATTCGTTTGCCTGCAAAAAATCATAAAGTTGTTCTTTTTTATGGCTCAGTAATACATATATATATATATATATATATATACACATATATATTATATATTATGTATATGCACTACATTTCGTTATCCATTCAATTGTTGAAGGGCACTAGGTTGGTTTCATAGCTTAGATATTGGGAGTTGTCTTGAGTTCTACCAGCCCGGGGTGCTGAGGGCGATGGGAAGCTGTGACAAGGGGAAAGGGAACTTGCCCCTTCTGCTTGCTTGCTATTCTCCTTAGGTTTTCCCCAACTTTTCACACTGTCAATTACAGCAGCTCCACTCCCCAACCTTTTTTTTTTTCTGACATTTCTGAATCATTCTCATGACTGTCA